ATGGGATCTATTTTTGGCATGCACAATAAGGACAATGTTGAGGTTTGTAATTTTGTACTCTTTTGTTTAGGTTCCATCTGTGTCATTACTACCTGTTTGAAATTTTTTTGGGTCAAATACTACCTGTTTGAACTAAGCGTACTCTTATATAGGTTTTCTGTTATGCCTTGAGTGCAAATGATGGAACAGAATGGAGACAACGTATCCAGTCTGAAGCGGAGCACTTCGTGGATGTGTCATCTTTGTCATCAGACATGATTGCCAAAATGATTAATGAAGATAAAATACAGATCTTAATTAACCTTAATGGTTATACAAAGGTATACCTCGTCGGTTGATATTTTGTTTCTCAACCTTAAATCTTCTTTGGGGAGGCGTATTGTAAGCATTACGTGGACCTAGAAAATTTGCCCGTTCATTTTTCTAGTTATTTGGTTATAATTATTGTTGGGGAGTTAATACTACTTCAATTAGTTTTTTCTTTTTCTTTTTCTATTTCTTTTTCTATTTCTTTTTCTATTTCAATCGGTTTCTAATGATCTACTTTGTTACCCATGTCTGTTGTTACTTGTTGGAATGACTTGATGGTACTTTAATCATGCAGGGGGCAAGAAATGAAATATTCGCTATGCAGCCAGCACCTATTCAGGTTTCATATATGGGGTTCCCTGGTACAACGGGGGCAAATTACATCGATTACTTGGTCACTGATGAGGTTTGAATTGGGCCACCTTATGTCTTGAATGGCTTCATGTTGTTGTCCGCACTTGTCTGACATGCTGTGTCTTTGCTTTCAGTTTGTTTCACCTCTACGCTTCTCGCATATTTACTCTGAGAAGCTTGTTCATCTCCCCCATTGCTACTTTGTGAATGATTATAAACAGGTCAGTATTCTTTTAAATAAGCATATTATAGAAAACCTCTCTAGTTTTTATTATTATATTTAATTTGAGGGAAGGTACATGACACCTGAATGACCTATTAATGTTGTGTTCAGAAAAATCAAGATGTATTGGATCCAAGCTGTGGGCACAAGCGATCAGATTATGGTCTGCCCGAGGATAAATTTATATTTGCATGCTTCAATCAGTTGTACAAAATGGATCCTGAAATCTTTAATACTTGGTAATATCAAGATGTTCCTCCCTTCATATCCATAGGTGCAATTCCTAAAGAAAGAATTCTACAAGTGCACATTGTACCTAATTTGGCACCTCACAAGTTTTTCTGTGTTCTAGGTGCAACATTCTTAAACGTGTGCCCAACAGTGCACTCTGGCTCCTCAGATTCCCGGCTGCAGGCGAAATGAGACTTCGTGCATGTAGGTGGAATGGTTTACTAATTGATAATGAATTGATCCCGTTCCTTTAAACCTCTACTAGTTTATAATGACATTTTACCTTTCAGTCTGAAGTAAAAACCATTATTTTTATTTGTGATATTTGTTTACTTATTGGACTTTGTTCAGATGCTGTTGCTCAAGGGGTGCAGCCAGACCAAATCATCTTCACAGATGTTGCCATGAAAGGCGAACATATCAGGCGCAGTGCGTTAGCAGATTTATTCCTTGACACGTAATATTCTTTTGACCTTGATTCATTTAAAAATCTTAAGGCTCTCTTTTATTCTTTCTATGCAATAACCTCAGAATTTTCGATTTTGGGATTTTTTTTGTTTTAGGCCTTTGTGCAATGCACATACTACAGGCACGGATATTCTATGGGCAGGTTTGCCCATGGTGACCCTTCCCCTTGAAAAGATGGCAACCAGGGTTGCTGGATCACTGTGTCTCGCCACTGGACTGGGAGAGGAGATGATTGTCAGCAAGTATTTGCTCTGCCCTTGTCACTTTATGAAATGCTTATTTCTGCAGGCTTTCTTTGTAATTGTAACAATTTTATTTTCATGTTTTGACTTCCTATAGTATGAAAGAGTATGAAGAGAAGGCAGTATCTCTGGCATTGAATCCCCCGAAGCTCCATGCTCTTGCCAACAAGCTCAAGGCAGCCCGGCTGACTTGTCCTCTGTTTGACACAGCACGCTGGGTGAGTAGTTTATATTGTACCTTCAAAATTGTTTGCATCTTCAAACTGTTGTCTCATACGACTTCCCATATGGAAAAGAAAAGAGCAGCTTAGTAACCTTTTGTAACAACACGTGTTGCAGGTGAGGAATCTGGAAAGGGCTTATTTCAAGATGTGGAATCTGCATTGCTCAGGCCAGAAGCCCCAGCATTTCAAAGTTGCTGAGAATGATTTAGAGTTCCCCTATGATAGATAGAAGAGAAATTAGACGGGATTGTAGATAATTTAGGAGAGAAGCAAGATAGGGAAGTTACTTCTATGGATTAGGAAATTCATAATACCCAGATGATGAATCCTTGACGTGTTTCTAGTTTATGGAGGAGATCTTGCTTGACGAAGCGTTGCTCTCTCTCTCTCTCTCGCTCGCCCCTTCTTTACGTTCCCCTCATATCAGCCCCCACATAATCATGCGATTTGTACTCCTGTTAAATAATGGAGATAATGGTCATAAATTTGTGCAGATTATCCGCTGGGGTCTTGCTCTGTTCATTGTGGTTTTTGTGCCATGCGTTTGCTAATAGAGATAAGGCTTCAGCTGTGTATGTTATACTTGTGTGTTGATTGTATCCCTGGCATCGTCCGTTGTATCATTAATGGTAACGTATTGGTTCCGTCTGCTTTTACCCCACTTTTCGGTTATAAATATGCTTTTATGCCTCTGATAACATTAAATTGGTTGAGGGTTTGTGAAGCAGTGGTACATCTTAGAGGGAGATGAATGGTATACATGAACAAATAATCAATTTATGAACAGAAAACATTAGGGGATAAATAGCAGGGGACTCGCCTCGATTATGCGAATAAGATCAAAAGGCTAGTTCAAGCCCTAAGCATATATCAGCAGCACATGCACTAAGCCCGTGTGCCATCAGAGGGGCATTTTCAACTAATTCACCAAAAGATAATAAAATGATCAATGGCGGACAGTTCTGATGGTTGGAACTTACTTGGTCCCGTTGAATTCACTATCCTTCTTGCTGTCATGTTCTCAAAGCAGTCACTGTTGTTGAGCATCCAGATTGACTGAAACGCGATGTTTGCTAATCCAGAGCCTGCTTGGCCTCATTGAGCATATAAAGCAGTTGTCGCAGTTTGCATATTGAACGGAGAAATGCAATCTTTCCAATATCATTTCTTCCTTGATCAAATACCTGCTCCATCGTTTCTCCCTCCCCACTTTTTTTATCATACTCGGGAAGCAGTGCATATCGCAACGCCATCATAGTCATATGCTTCAAACAACAATAAACTGTCATCACTTGACACTTGATTAAGTTGAAACATCATGTGCCCCGGAGAGAAACTTCCAATTGTTCAATCCTCTTAGCCATATCATGCTTCCCACAATTCTTCAACCCATCAGTAACCAAATCAAAGCACCGCGAAATCGGCATCAACCCCATCTCAGTCATTTCCACCAAGTAATTAGCAGCCTCAACAAACCTCCCTCCGCGCCCAGACATGGTGATCAGCATGGTATATACTGGCCTGTTTGGGGGATGCCCCTTAACTTTCATCTCACTAAAAAAGCAGAATGCATCATCAAACTGACCCCTCCTGCACATCCCCTTGATTATAGGCGCATACAAGCTTGGAAATGGCCTATGCCCGTCCTCGATTGAATTATGTAAAAGCCTAAATGCATCATCTATCCTACCCACCTTTGAAACCGCAGGTATCAACACCTTGTAAGTATTGATATCAGGACAAAGACCCAAACCATTTGCTTCCCAATACAGATCAATGCAAAACTCAACCTCCCCAAATTTACAGATAGCCTCCATCAACGAATTGAAAGTAGAAACATCAGGAACAAACCCTTCCTTAACCATTTTCCTTACCATTTCTTTAGCAGCCTCAATGTAACCGGCATTCAGCAACCCTTCAACGAGAAGATCACGCCCTCTAACCGGCGGATTAAATCCTTTGCTGCTCATCTCCTCCAAGAACAATTGGGCCTCCCTCATTTTCCCATTGGAGCACCAAGCATTCACCAAAATCGAATAAGTCCTCTTATCCGGGACAAGCCCTTTTCGTATCATCCTTCTCACCAACGCATAAGCAGCATGAAAGAGCTTAGCTTGGCAAAGCGAGAAGAGCAGAGCATTGTATACCTCCACGGTCTGCAAGCAATTAAAGGTTTTGGGGGCTCGGTTGAAAAGCTCAACGGCCTGGTCAACGAGGCCGTGGTTGCCATATTCTTCGATAACGAAGCAAAGGGTTTCTTGAGAGAGGGTTAAGCCGTGATGGGTTAGCATAGATTGGAGGAGTTTCCACATTGACTCGTACTTTTTGGTGCGAGCCAGCGTCTTCACCAGCTCTTCGAGCTCTAATGTCGTGGGGCGATAGGTGGGGTGGTGGGTCCGGGCCCAGTTGAAGAATCGGAGTGACTCGGTGCCTGCAGCTGAGCAGGCGCGGAGGACTCGGTAGACGAGTTCGGAATCGACGGTAATGCGAAGCTTGTTGAGTGTGCGCTCCATGAAGTGGTCGCGCCGTACGATGTTGGTGATGTGTTGGATGGCTGAGAAGTAGTCGTCCTTGGTGGGGAGGACGCCGTTTTGTGGAGCGGCATTGACGGTGGCGAGGTGGCGGAGGAGGACGCAGTGCGTATGGGGTTTGGAGCGGTGGAGAAAGAAGAGCAACGAGTTTTTGGTGGAAGCCAACATATGTTTTGTCATTCGATTTCGAGTTATTTGGGAAAATTGAGTGATTTAGAGCGTAATCTACTAGGGTAAAAACGGCATTTTATATTTAGCCTAATTCTCGAACTGAAGGGATCCTTTTGTCAAATTCGAAAGTATTACAGTAGTATTGGCAAATTGCGAAGGGATCCTTTTGCAGTTAAGGACATAATGTAGATGGTGCCACTGCCACGTTGTAAATGAATGAACAATAATATACGACGTCGTCGACTGGTGTTCTTCAACCTTCCAACGTCCAAATAAAAAAGAAAACGGAAGGCCCTGCAAATCTGCCTCATTGCATTACCGCGGTACTGCCCGCCTCTCAGCTCTCGCTTCTTTCAAGCTGGAACGAAGCAAACGACGTCGCAGTAGATTCAGCATCGGGTAACTCTCTCTCTGTCTCAGTTGAACTTGTAAAGCTAAAAGACACTGTCGTTAGCTTTCTAGGGTCGTAAAACAAGCTAAGATTTGTTTTGACAATGGTTGGTGAAATATTTACTGAGATTGTGGTTTAATAGCAACCTAACAAAAAAAAAGTAATGAAATTACTGAGATCTTGTTAGGAACTTCTGACCCCTGTTTTTGTATTGTATCAGACGGAAATTTTGTCAATTTTGAAGGTGGAGCTTTGTTAGAATCTGCCATGAACCGTCCTCCTGCTCAATTTGCCCACCCATCCTTCACTCTCATTCCCTCAAATCCTAATCCTAACCCCAACTTCTTCCACTCTCAGCCACAAAACACACAACCTGCAATCCCCACTCCTCCTTTGCCTCCTCCTGACCTTTCTACCACAATCTCATCTCTCGATACCCTCGTTCGCGACTCTTACCAGACCCTTGACTCACTTTCTGCTCTCCTCCCTCTCCAAAACCCAAATTATGACAACCCCCAGAGTTCCCTCATCCCCTGCCCTTTCAACCCCCACCACCGTGTGCACCCTCACTCCCTTTTCTCCCACTCCCTCCACTGCCCATCTCATCCTCACCCTCTCCCGCACCTCAATTACCCCAAAACTCTCAAATCCTCTGACCAATCTCAAACTGAAAAAAGTTTTCTCCAAACTCGTCATGGCTCAGAGGCTGACCTGTGCTTGTCTTTGGAGGATTATTATGCAGATTTTGGCTCAAATTTCTTCTACAGTGACTGCCCTGGTGTTGTTAACTTTTCTGGTCTGGATGGTGTCAACAGAATGTTTTCACTTCCATTGATTTTGTCTGTTGAGTGTGAAAATTTTATCGGTAGAGGAGAGAGAGAAATTATGGATTTTGAGAAAGAGTGGTGTAGAATTCTTCCATCTGAGTTGTGGGCTATTAAAACCGAAGTTGAGGGCTGGAATGAGTTTCCTTTTACGTACTCGTACCGAGTTCTTTGTGCCATTTTGGGGTTGGGTGTGGTTAAAGAGTATGATGTAGGTACATGGATAATTGCAAATTCACCACAATATGGCGTTGTGATTGATGTGGCCATGAAGGATCATATAGTTTTGCTTTCCAGGCTGTGCTTGAAGGCTATTTTAAGGGAAGCTTTAAGTAAGGTAAAGGAAGGAGATCCAGAGAGTACACATTTTGAGTGTCCCACTTTGGTTCAAGCTTTGATGTGGCTAGGCTCTCAGCTTTCCATACTGTATGGTGCACAGAATGGGAAATTATTTGTCATAAATGTCCTTAAGAAATGCTTATTAGATGCTGGACTGGGCTCCTTAACTTTCCCATTGGAGCAACAGGTGACAGAGTTTCCTGCTTTAGAAGAGGGTTCGTTGAATTTGGATGCCAATGGCAGTGGTGTTAGGGATGCTGAAGTTATGAAACCACTAAGTACAGATGGTGGAGGGAATAGCATGGTGAAGGAAAACATTATCAGTAGGGTGGTATTTGTGTCCCAGGTTGCAACAGCCGTTGCAGCATTGCCTGAGAGGTTCTTGCTAGAAGAAAAACTTAAGGCACAACGGGTTTCACAAACCTTTACTAGATATCAACGGTATGCCACTGTGCTCAATTTCTTTCAGGTTTACTTTTAGCCTGTTGAAAATCTAGTTGAAGCATATAACTTTTATAAAAGAAAAGGAAAAGAAAAAAGGAAATGCGTTAATTGAAAATGCTCCCTTAATTAAACTTTGTCAAGGTTTTATGCTTGTCAATCTAAAAGTAAATATATCACTGCTCATGCACCCTAAATTCATATATGGGTTAACATGTTGACTGTTGGTATTGGTGGCCCTCATCTTATATCTTCTCCACTTATGATCGCAGATCTGTCTTGTCTTTAATTTTGTCTCCAAATCCTTCTGAATGGTGTCCTTAGGCACTCCAGCATTTGTTTCTGCTGCATGTAAACAAGATTTCTGGATGTCTCAAAGGGTATATTGCAATAATGGGAAGAACATACACTTAGCCAACACCCACCAAAAACTAAGGGAGGTCAATAGAAACAGATATTAAACAAAGGGCTTTATAAGAAGCATTAGTAATTGAAAAGGGCAGGGATCTGCCACTGTTATAAATCTCCATATAAAGCTTTTGTAAACCAGCCGATACTTTGTAGTTTGGAGCAAACTGTCTCTTTGTCAACATTTGTTCCAACTAAGTTGTCATGTCACTTACATTGTTTGACATATATACTGATTTTTGTGTTGCTTAATAAGTTTCTCATGTTCTCTCTTTACTTGCAGGATGGTTGATCATGAATATGTGTCACAGAGAGCTGATGAGGAGCGGAAAAACCGATGTCAGTATAGACCTATTATTGACCATGATGGGCTCCCTCGGCAGCAATCATGTAACCAGGTACCAGATAATAGCATTATTCCTAGACAAATTAACAGGGACATGATAATTGTATTCCTCTCTAGTGGGAACTTGTAGGCTAATTACATATTTTCGAGTTTGCAGAAATTGGTTTCTAACCGGAAACTACTACATTATAGTCAATTTCTTTTTGAACTTGATTTAATCTCTACTTCATAGTGGTTTCCTACCTTTACTCTCTCACTCTGTCTCTGTCTCAGTAAATATATAAGTTTTTCAGAAAGTGCCAAGAGATGCAATTCCTGTTTGTAAAGATAGCAAAACATACAAATTTAAGACTAAGAACACTTTGAATGTAAAGGAAGGGAACATAAGTGTAGCCTTAAGTCTCACAACTTGCCTATATACATGTGAAATGGATGCGGATACTTGACTAAGCCTGCTGGGGTTTTAGGACTCTTTCTTGCCATTTTAGATTAAGTAAATGGTTCGCAGAGAGATCTGAAATAATTGAAGCAGTAGAGGGAATTATCTCATCATGATTGAAGATCTTGTCTCTTGTAGTGGTAAGTGCATTTACAGTATGGCTGTAATTAGCTGAAGAATAAACCTAGTGATAGCCTGAAATTCCTGTAATTTGGTTCTTCATGCTTGATTATATGATGCTGTAATCAGATCGTTATCTTGTATCTAACTTCTTAGAAATAAGTTTGGTTATAAAGTGGACAGGTCGTTTTCATTCTTAAATCTCACAAATTCTTTCTTCTTTGTTGGTTGTACACAAGGAAACAAACAAGACTAAGACTAGAGAGGAGTTATTGGCAGAAGAAAGAGACTACAAAAGACGAAGAATGTCATATCGTGGAAAAAAGGTGAAGCGAACAACTTTGCAGGTAAGGCTTAGGTTTATAATTTTACTTTTGCAACTAAAGAAAAATCACACCAACATATTTTCCCTGTTGAAGCATGGATGCCAACAGTTTCCCCCCCTTTATTATTTTATCAACAGTTGATATTTACTTTTATATTTTCCAAAGGTTATGAGGGATATTATAGAGGAGTACATGGAGGAAATCAAGCAAGCTGGCGGGATTGGGTGCTTTGAGAAAGGAAATGAAGGGGAAGGGAGCTTTCCATTTGAACTACCATCAGCTCCTGAAATCACCACCGATGCTGAAAAGCCAACAAAAAGCAATTATGACACAGCGGGATGTAGCCCAAGTCGTAGCAGGAAACAGTCTCATTCTAGTTATTATGCTATTGATTCTGCAACATCCAGGGATGCTTCTGCTAAAGGTAGCGAAAAACCAAGACGGAGTCTTCAGGAACACCATCACTATCTAGAAGATCATAGAAGTGACGGTAGGGACAGACGTGATATGGTGAAACATTCCAGAAGTCCAGAGAGTCGCAGAAATCCTGGATGGTCACACGGACAGACTCGTCATCACAGGGAACGAGATGATCTGGAGGTGAGAAAGACCAAGCACCGTGAAATCAGTCGGTCATCTTCTAGCATATCCAAGTATCGTGATAATAGATCATCTTCTCAGTTGAATTCGGGTGAGAATTCAAAAGTTAGAAGGGATAGGTTATATGAGAATCATAGTTCAAACTCTGTGGTACAAAATACTTTTGAGGATAGATATGATCCTTTAATATCTCATGACATATATGAAGAGGATCTTTCTACTAACAGAAAATATGCTAGAGCGGGCAGATATTCTGAAAAGGAGAAAAGTCCTGACTACCATTAGAAATCTGAGTGCGAAATGGGTAAGTTATTCTTTGATTTCTTCTATGTACTTGTATTACGCTCATACCTGAATTCGAAAGTGACCTTTTCTTTGTGACATGGTTTATTGAAAAAATTTTGCAGCACAAAGTCATCAGGCTTCAACAATTTTAACTTCATCTGTATCCTCCTTTTGTATCCTTGACTTTTTTTATTATTATTTAAATTTCTTCCCTCATTCTCGTTCTGAATATAACAAAACATTGCTCGTACTGATTATTCCCATAGTCATCATGATTTTTTACCCGCATCAATTAGCATCATGGTATCAGTTGACACTGATATCCTGTTCTCTGTTTCTTTGCATTAAAGCCTAATGTGTCCAAAATAATATAAATCCTTACGGAAGGAGAGCAAGGTCATTGGCTTAGAGAGGCCACAGTACAAGATCTCAATATGCAAATAAGGGTAAACAGGTTTGTTGTTGGATTGCAGAGCATATCATCATTATATAGAATTTATAATCATTGTCATTTTCATTTGGGAAGCTTTCATCTCCGTCTCCCTCCCCTGGTTCCTCTTTTTGTAGTTGAATAACTTGCTTTCTACTCTGGTTTTATAGTATACAGCAATACCTGTCATGGTTGAATTTTCTTATAGGCTTGACCCTTTGCTTGTAGATACGAGAATTCCCACAGCTTCTGGTAGAATGCTAAAGAAGTTCATGAAGGATTGCGGATGAAGCATGGTACCGGCACTTTGACTGTTATTTCGATGTAACAGTTTTTGCTCATATAATGCAGTTCTGTTATGATTCCTATGAGTTTATACAAATCTGAGGAAGTGCATATGTAACTCCTAGCTTCTTTTTACCCCATTGCAATATGCTGATGGAAGAAGAATGTTTGTCATGTAAACATCCAGATAAACAACAATAAAGATGGTTGATACTTACTAACACCCACCCGGTTCTCCTAAAAAGTTGTTTTATGGTTGTTACCAAGGTTAGGTTTAGTTTAGATTTATTTATCAGTTTAACCACGAGTTTCACATTTCTTTTTTTTAATGGAAACCTTTAAATGAGGCACAAAGAACAGAGTGGTTTCACTTTGTATTTTCAAAAGAACTGAATAGTTGTAACCTGTTCGTCTTTTTCATTTTTTTCATTATTTTTTTGTGTGGGTATGACTAAAGTGTGTTTTCAATAGAGTATACAAAACAGACTTCTTCTTTTTTATTTATTAAATGGATACAGATACGTTGCAGAATATGGAGATGAATTTCCAAAACTTTGAAAGATTTACATCATGGGTAGGGTGATTTATTCAAACATTCATATATTTGGTGAGAGTAAAATTAGTTTCCATTAAATAAATAATTCATACATCTTAGTTCATCATCTAAACAAAAGTTACATGAAAAAATAAAATAAAATAATTAAAGATACAGAAGTTATGCAAAGTTACCAATTGAGCCCTAATAAAGTTGTATAATTTCCTTTTGGCAAACAGTTGATGGTAGATACCAACCACACCTGGTGAGTTAATCACTCACTGACAGAGTACATATTGTTAGGAGGACTACTTTTACAACATGTGCCGGTTTGAAACGGAATTTTGCGTGTCATATTTCTTCAGAGTCACACACACAGAAAACAAAAAATTCTCAAGGAAGAAAGAGAAAAAGAAACAGAGTATAGGTAGAGACACACTCTGCTGCTCTCTCTCAGTGCTCTGGCTCTGGGCCTCTCTCTCTCTCTCTCTCTCTCTCTGACAGATGATGAAGCAGCCCACAATTCTCGACGTTTGTTTCTCTTTGACAAACCCATTCATCTGAACCCAAAATAATCAGCAACCCTGATCTCCATTTTTCTTCTTGTTTTGTCTTTCGCAAATGGCCAGGGCAGGTGTCTTGGAGGAGACTGAGACTGAGACTGAGAGTGACTCGTTTATGGTGGCAGCAAAGGCCATGGAGATAAAGAAGCAGTTAGAGAGACTGGTCAAGGCCATTGTTGATGAAGATGACTATAGGGTTGAGACTGCTGATGAGGCTATCAGAGCCTTGTCTTCTTTGAAAGGCTTGAAGCTAAAAAAGTCTCTGTCGTTCAAACTTGATGGCCATGGCAATCTTCTTGATGTTCCTGAAGACTTCAGATGTCCCATCTCTGGAGAACTCATGAAGGACCCTGTTGTCTTGGCCACTGGACAGGTTACAATTTCTTTTCTTTTTTATCTCCCTGTGATTTCTTCGTGTGTATATTTCTTTCATTTTCGATTTATCTTGAATTTTCTTTGCCGCTATTTGGATTTTGATGAGTTCCTGGCCAATTTGAATATGCATGCAAGAATTTCATGGGTTGGAGATTTTGATTATTGTTAATCTTGGGCTTTGCGTCTTTTTTCCTCTTTCTTTGGTATCAATATCATCAATTCTGAATACTTTTGGAGTTGGGTTTTGAAGAATTTTTTGGTTCTTGTATTTCTGCTTAATCTTTCAAGACCAGACTTGAATTGTGTTTCCAAGCTTCAGAACCCCAATTCCACACTAACAAATGGACAGTCGGGTTAACTTTAATAATTTGTTCTGTGGTTTTTCTTTTTCATTGTGTTCTGTGATTCCTTTTTCCCTTCGTTTCATTGCAGAGGACCTTTTTGGAGATTATGTTTGATCTCAAGAGTTTTCTAAGTTTAAAAGAATCTTGTCAGTAATTCACATGTTGTCATCCTCCATAATAATTGGAGAAGAAGAAAGTTGTTTGATAACGACTACATCGGGAAAAAAAACCTGTAGTCATTCTTTGATTTGCTTTCATTGATTAAATAGGGATTTTTGCTTGAACTGAACTTCTAAGGTGAACTGTGATAATAAAATCTAGATGTATGTCTCAAACCCCGTATGACAGCTGGGTTTCCTAAGTCCTGCCAACCCTTAATGAGTTATTTGTTCATGAAAAAGTAAACTTCATAAAGAGCGAGAGGAATCGATGAGGTTTTTGCTATCTTTCACAGCACAGCCCAATTTTGGTAGGTGCTGACACTGCAAAGTCGATATAGAACAACTAACTACGCATCACATTTTGTTGCATTTATGAATTATTTAGGATCAGATCACCGCTGCCTTTGTGCTACAATTATGGTAGTATCATTTGAAATCTCACCTTGAGTTCATGCAGTTTCTTATAATTTCTACTTCTCTAAATGAACTGCAGACTCACTGTATTACATATTTTTATTGGATTACAGACTTATGACCGGCCATTCATCCAGAGGTGGTTGAATGAAGGCAACCGAACATGCCCTCAAACAAAGCAAGTCCTCTCTCATACTGTCCTTACCCCTAATCATCTGGTTCAAGAAATGATTTCACAATGGTGCAGGGAGCATGGAATGGAGCTTCCAAAACCTGTTCAGGATATTGATGAGGAAGTTGTCACCAATGCAGACCGAGGATATCTAAATTCATTGCTTCAGAAGATGTCATCATCCCTATCTGATCAGAAAGAAGCAGCAAAAGAGCTTCGACTGCTAACAAAGCGAAGTTCACCATTTCGGGCACTTTTTGGTGAGTCTATTGAGACCATTCCTCAATTGCTCAGTCCACTTTCACCGGGCCAGGCTGATACTGATCCTGATCTTCAAGAAGATTTGATCACAACACTACTAAACCTTTCAATTCATGATAATAACAAAAGATTGGTTGCAGAGCATCCCTTGGTCATCCCTCTGCTTATTGAATCCTTAATATCTGGAACCATTCAAACAAAAAGCAATGCTGCTGCAACTTTCTTCACATTAGCAGCCATTGATTCCAACAAGATTATTATAGGAACGTCTGGTGCTCTCAATCCTTTGATTGCCCTTTTAGATGAGGGGCATCCACTGGCCATGAAAGATGTTGCTTCAGCCATATTCAGCTTGTGTAGTGTTCTTGAAAATAAAGGAAGGGCCATCAATGCTGGAGCAGTCAGGGTAATTCTGCAGAAGATAATGGATCGCGTGTTAGTTGCGGAGTTGTTGGCTATACTTGCTATGCTTTCTAGCCATCAGAAGGCTGTTCAGGAAATGTGCGAGCTTGGCACTGTATCTTGCTTGTTTGGCATCATAAGGGAGAGCGATTGTGAGCACAACAAGGAGAATTGTATTGCAATCCTTTACACCATCTGCTTTGCTGATCGGACCAAATTGAAGGAAATTAAGGAAGAGGAAATGGCCAATGGTACAGTTTCCAGACTTGCACGGACCGGGACTTCGAGGGCCAAGAGAAAGGCCAGTGGAATTCTTGATAGGCTGAATAAGACTGGCTCAATAACGCACACTGCTTGATGGAAATGAAACTTTTCGTCTTGTTTTTCTCTCTTCCCCCAAAAGGTATCATCCCATCACCCATGTAAATGTCCTTTCTATATTTGGTCACTATACATACTCCATTACCTGTACAAACCAAAAAAAAAAAGCTTCACAGATTTGTACACATTACTTGAGTTGATCTCCTAGGCAAGTTTTAGTCCATTTCAGGCTTATAGACTTGTAAAGGTCATTGAAACTTCACCTCTCTTTGGTCACAAAAGAATTCATAACCGGTATATTTTTCTATTTTCTGACTTGTCCAGTTTGTGCCAGCTGTGTTTGAAATGCCAACATATGTAGTTTGATTTGGATTATTTGATTGAATTAATGATGATCATACTTGGCTTTCCTGAATTACAGGACCTGTGGCCTGCAGGGTCTCGAGTCCATTGTTTTGTTTAAAGAGTGTCGGCAAGGCTGACCACCAAATTGCTGAACTTGATTTAATACACCAGTTAAGCAGTGGATAAAGTACTAAACCAGAATTATAAAGCTTGATAATGACATATTTGGACGGCGCCATAAGATTTACAACTTTAATTATAAAAGAAGGAAAAAGGGCAAATTAAGCGCAGACTGATGCTGAAATCTAGTATTTCATGCCTGCCTCTGACTCGTCATTCCAATAACATACCTTTCTCAACATTTTTTAATAATATTTCCTTCAGCGAAAAAGAAGAATTCATAAAATCTGCAATGAACTTTTTACTTGACGGTAGGTGAACTACTTTTTAGAATAATTTAATTTAACACCTAGTGAAAGTGAAAGGAAGCTGCCATATATACGAAATAGACGATTTGAATTAATGAAATACAAAACACCTATCAGCATGATTTTTTATTAATTAAGAACTAGGATTACTTATTCATAAACATTGTTTATTAATTAACAAGTTGTTACTTGTTGCTTGATCATTAACAAATATCAACTTTTCCATAACTTGTTGTCCCTTCCTATCTTCAATGGCTAGGCTATATATATACATAGAGCTTCCATTAAGGGATTCCTCAAATAAGTGAGGGACACTTTTGTAGGGCCCATTTCACATTGTATTTCACTAATCCAAACTGTCTATGTTTTAAATAATCATTCAAAGATCATCTCTTAAAAAAAATCACTTGAATCCGATATCGTTTGACCACTCAATTGTGTTATTGAAATTTTAGTACTTTCTTGAAGCACCGTTTTTATTAATTTTGTAGAATACAATTGGATGTCGAAATATTTTCCAATTTGTCTAATTTTTTGCAGGGATGATCTATGAATGTAGACTTAAAAAAATAGATAGTTTGGATTGTTGGAAAAAAAAAAGTAGAGTATCCTAAATGATGTCCCTCAAATAAAATTATTTAAGGAATCCTTCAATAGAAGGAGAATGTATATATATATAGGGTAATGCTAGGCTTACCACAATTTT